CACGGGTGGTCTCACCAGCTCTCGCCCATGAAGGAGCAGCAGGCCATGTGTCTGGCTCCCAGACCTTTATTATTCAGCCTCACGCTGGGAATTCCCGGCCATTCATTTCTGTGTTTTTCTACTGGGCCTCACCCTTTTGGGGAATGTACAGAGGACACAGGGGAGAGAAGGGGGACGAACGGCAAAGGGCAGAGGGTGAGAAGGCTGTTATATCCCGCTCTGCTGCTTACAAGCCTTGTGACAGCCTTACTGTCATCATCTGCAGGATGGGGACCATTGTCCATAAAGAACTTAGCTCACTGCCTGGCACATGACAAACATTAAAAAATGGCTATTGTTACGAAGTGGAAGCAACCCAAGTGTCCCTCGACTGACGATTGGATCAAGATGATGTGGTATATATATATACAGTGGGATACTACTCAGCCATAAAAAAAGACAAAATCGTCCCATTTGCAACAACATGGATGGGCCTGGAGGGTATTATGTTAAGCGAAATAAGCCAGAAAGAGAAAGACAAACACTGTATGATCTCACTGATATGTGGAATATAAACCAACACATGGACAGAGAAAACTGTACTGTGGTTACCAGGGGCAGTGGGGGTGGGGGGTGGGCACAAGGGGTGAAGGGACACATGTATATGGTGATGGACAAACAAAAATGTACAACCCAAAATATCACAATGTTATAAACTATTAAAACAAATACTATTAAAACAAAAAATTGGCTATTGTTATTATTATTGTTATTCTATCTCAGAGCCCAGACGGCCCAGAAATTTCAGAGGCCTCCAAGTCTCCATCAAATTCTGCATTAATTGTGGAAATCGCTTCAGCTAAAGTGTAGCTCTTTAACCAAAAGACAAAATAAAATACAAACTCCCCAGGATCCCCAGGGAATGCTCTGGCCTGAGCATTGAAATTTTAATTGCAAAGCTTCTGTTGGTGTTTCATGTTGCTGGAAGAGGGGTGTTGGGGAGAGGTTGGGGGGCTGTGACCTCTGAGCTCTTTCCTGGGGGTGGGATTGGGCAAAAGCAGGAGGAAATGGGTGCGGGGTGCAGCAGGGTGTGCTACAAGGGAAGTAGCTAAGGAAAGTACTAGAATTTGCAGCTTGCACGGAGGCAGTAAACCATATTCTTGCCGGAACCTCAAACCTAAATGTCTATGGGGTTTGGCAGGTGGTAAAATGAGGGAAGCCAGAGGGAATGAGAAAAATCGTGTGTCCATCATGGTGTCTCTTTCCTTGTCTTACTTTTGATGGAGACTTGGGCTCGGAGAAAAACATCCTTTACTATAAGGAAAACAAGAGAAGGATGCTGATAAATGGCGACTGCCACGGCCACGGGGTCCAAGGGCACAAGGCGTGGAGGGGAAGGTAGAGAACTGGGGGTCTCACCCTGGCCTGCCCCACCTCAAGGGGCAGCCACTGCTCAGGCCCCGCCCACCATCATCCCGGGGGTGACACCACCCAGTGAGGTCAGACCTCTGTCACCTGGAAGAACATAGAAGCGTGGGTTCGTGTGTGTAGTTTCCTGACTTTTAAATGTTGCCCTTAATTTTTTAAAAACACCATGTAGACATCGAATCTAAGATGCCATTGTTTGTAAGACATTCTGATATTTGATAAAATACTAATAAACAAAGGCCTGTCAATTAAACTATGACAAGCCATTGATTGTAAGACAAATCCCAATTCCAAAGATGTCACAATGTGAAAAAACTGTGCATCTTAGAATCCACGAAACGCTGTACATCAATAGGCTGGACTTGGCCTGAGGGACTTTGTGCAGTTCCCAGCCCACACAACTGCACATAACAGCTCTTATGATGCCATCTCAGGACACTGGAAGGCCTAGGGGTCACCAGGAATTTTGTATTTGGGTCACATCTATCAACACCCAAGTCCCCTGAGAAGAACTAATCTCTTGTCCATCTTTATCTGGACCAGGAATGAGTCAAGGCAGCAGAGAGGAAAATGTGTCTCAGTTCACTCCCACGGGTTACCAGATCACTAAAGGTGATACCAAGGCCCCCAAGATGGTGGTTCACTAGGCATGGAGTGGGGCCGGGAGTGCAGCTTCCTAAGGGATGCTGATTCCTGCCAGGGATGGGAGCTACTAGGATAGGCCTCACACCTGCATTTATACAGGCCCAGAGAGGTGGAGGCACTGCCCAACATCACACAGCTGGGCACAGCAGAGCCAACCAGGGGCTCAATCCTCTCAACATCATCCCCATGTGCCCCCGCACCCTCATCCCCAGTGCCCTGTCACCCTCATCCCCAGTGTCCCCTCACCCTCATCCCCAGTGTCCCCTCACCCTCATCCCCAGTGTGCAC